AGAGAGAGAGAGAGAGAGAGAGAGAGAGAGAGAGAGAGAGAGAGAAGTAGACAACAGCATAGGCTGCCTTGGAGCTGCCATTACAGGAAATTGTGAACCTGCTATTATGGGTGCCAGGACCAAACTCTTGTCCTCTGGAAAAGCAGCAAGTACTTTTAACCACTGAACCACCTTTCCAGACCCATCCACCCTGTTTTTGAGGCAGGGTTTCTCACCAAGCCTGGAACTCACTGATGCAGCTAGGCCGGCTTGCCACAGAGCCCCTGGAATCCTCCTGTCTCTGCCTCCCCAGCTCTACAAGTGTGCACCACCACACCTGGTCTTTGGGGTTCTAAAGATCAAAATTGGATCTCCATTCTTGTATGACAGATTACTGACTGAGCCATCTTCTCAGTCTGCAGCACACTTTCTTTAAGAAACATCTCTCACTTTTCCTCCAGCTGCGTCCTGTCTCCTCCTGTGGTAGTCAGACTTGCCCCTGCTTGTACGCTGGGCTCTTTTCTGTCTCATTTCCCCCTCACTTGGTCATTTTCAAGCTTCACTGCCAACAGCCTTCCCCAAGATCACCATTGACCTCCATGTTGCTGAGACCAGTGGGTTCTTCTTCCTGACCTCACCAGATGACGTAACTCTGTAGCATGCTTTGTTGAGCACCACCCACTGGAGTGCTGTCTTTAGCTTTCCTGGTATAACACTGGGTTTTCTACCAACTTCATTAATTTCCTTTTGTCTGCTGGTTTCCCCTGACATCCATCCTCCTTTGCTTCCATTATTTATCTTGACTTTCATTAGTGAATGCAATGCATTCTTGTGTTAAGCTATACAGGTAACACAGCTATTCTTTTTTATTATTATTTATAAGATAAAGTATACTACTTCAGCTCTTTTTAGATGAATCGTTCAGTGGCATCACCGTCATCCATCGCTAGGGCCTCATCATCTCCAGCTGTACTGAGTGAACAGTAGCTCTCTCTCCCTTCCCCTTTCCCCACAGCCTCGGCTCATCTTATTTTTAAATAGATATGTTTCTCGTGCCTTTATGGTTCTTACTGTGCTCTTCCTCCCCATTTCTTGGCTTTCAGTTCTGATCTAGGACTCACCTGCAGTTCTTAGCCCACCTCTCCTCCGGGCTTCAGTTCTGCATATATCCAGTTAGCTACTGGGTATCCAGGGGGAGCCTCACGCTCATCATTACGTCCTGGGGTTTTGTCTCCTTCACTCCCTCTTGGATCTCTCCGCTCATCTCTCTCCCACATCACCATCAGCCTTAGAAGTGGTCTGCTGCATCTGGTCCTCCCTAGTCCAGCCTGTCTACTGTAGAGTGAGAATAGCCATCCTGCCCTGGCCAGGCGAAAGATTCTGCAGTGATTGAGGAAGAACACATGCTCCAGTGGTCTCCATGGTCCTGCTCACCCCTTTAACCTTGTCTTTCCAACTCCTCTTCTCATGAGAGAATGGCTACACCTATTTCAGACTGCCCAATCTTTGAACCTACTTAGTCTTCTCTACCTATGGTCTACAAGACTCCATTGGGCTGTACCGTTCTACTCCCCCCCACCTCTCTCTCTCTCTTCTTCAGCACTTAACCATTCAACAGAAACTCTTGATTCCTCCTTAATGTTTGTGACCTTCTCAGGCTAGACTGGCATCCTACTGTATGCACTTATGAAATATAATCTAGTTCCTTTTCCACAAATCCATCATTCAGCCATAGCATCCTTTCATTTTGTCTACCTGCTAGAATGTAAACTCCGTGAGAATAAGAATCCTATTTATCTGTGTCTCCAATGCCTGGTACTTGGAAGTGCTTAGTGTTTGTAGAGTAAATGAGAAAAAAAATCCCTATACTTGGTGTCATCAGGCCAAATAGTTTTTACATCAAGTGATTGATTATATAACCAACTGTAATCGTCAAGTGTTTTTCTGGTAAGCTTCAGAAGCATTCAGGAAGTCAAATCAATTTGGGTGAAGGAGACACAGAGATGGAAAATCATAATCCTGAGATGACTTGCATTTTCAGAAAGAACACATTACATTTAAAAGTGTGCCTGTGTATATGTCTGTGCACGAGTGTGCATTTGTGTAGGTATGTGCATGCTGATAGGCTTGTGTGGTCAGAGGACAACCTTTGGGAGTTGCTTCTCAACTTCTGCTGCGGGATCCAGCTCAGGTTGTTGGTCATGTGGTTTGTGCTTTTACATGCTGAGCCATCCATCTTACTGGCCTGGAACACAAGTTTTGAAAGTAAAAGCACAAATCTATTTTCATCTGCTTTCCCTTAAGTTCTTGAGGGGACAGCATCAAAGCGATTCTGTGTCCAGTGGCCTCAGTAGGGAGGTTGCCTTGGATTTTAGCATGAATTGTTTCCGTGGGCATAGGCCATCTTTCCTAGGTGATTCTGCTTTTGCTAACTTTGCTTTTGGGAGATGCTGGTTATCCTTTGTTTGCTATCTATGCACATGTGTCAACAAAGGAGAATCCACTTTCATCTTGCGTCTCTGCACCCTTAACTTTAGGAAGAGATTGTGCTAGAGACCGTACATCTAACTGGCTGAAACTTGTACACTGTAGCCTCCCAGACATGTTTAGGAGTGTGTTTGCTTTTGAAGACCAATAAAACCGTATCTAAATGATAATCTCTCTAGCTGGGGAGATGGCCATCCAACTGTGAAGACTGGAGTTTCATTTCCTAGGATCCAATATAAAGTCAAATACAATACTGGGAGTCTGCAATCCTGGTGCTCCTCCAGCTGGGTAGAAGGCAGAGGTGGAGGCTTCAGAAGCATCTGGACCAGCCAGCCTGGTGTAAGCAGGACTGAACAACGAAGACTTTGTCCCATACAAGGTGGAAGATGGCACCTGAAAATGCCAGACAATATTCTCTGACCTCCCTATATGTGGCACGGCACACACTCAAATATAAATTATATATTTTTTTTGTCAAAACACATACTTTATTTTTGCATTGTGACTTAAAAATTTTGGTCAGGGTGTGAGTCGTGTGAAGTGTTATGAAACATAGAGCTGATTAGCCCCACGATTGCCTCTCAAGACTTAGAGAACAGAAAGAGCCCAGCAAGGTTATCTCCTCCCCCTCCAGTTTCCAAGAAATATGTTTTCTAATTAGAATATGTCTAAATACAGCAAACTAATCATAGCCTGGTGTCGTTTATAACAGTTCTCTAAAAATGTTACAGACGAAGTCCAAGTAATGCACAGTGATGACAAGTGGGTTTGCACTGTTGTGAGGAAAGCCTTTCCCCACAGAGCACGGTTACCTCACGTCTACCTAATGCATCTGGAGTCATAACAACGAGGGTCGAGCTGTTCTTCGGAGCTTTTGCTTTTCGGTAAATGTGCACCCTATACAGCAGCCCTGAATCAAAGGTGGCGACTTAATTCATCGTCACTTGGCACACCTTTGAAAATGGCAGGCCTTACTAATAATCTCACTGGGGATCAGTGATTTTGGGGACTGTGGGATGTAGGGTCACCCTCAGCAGCTCCTTGTGAATCAAGTCCTTTGGCTTTGTGTTAGCTTTTCATATTCTTCTCAAGCCAGTATTCAGTCGATGTGCTTCGTAATTTCAAATGTAGATTTCAGTAGACTAAGAATTTTTAAAAGCAAAACAAACAAAAACAAAACGAATTCCCATTCTAGAGACAGAACCGGGGAAAAATTTAGCACAGGGCACAAGCAATTCTTACTGTTAGGTTTCCAGACTCAGTGGTCCAGTTTCTGAGGTCTCTCTTTCACAGAGAAGACCCAGATCACAAGTTCATACTTAACGTTAAGGGAGAAACGTATCTCTGAGAGAGATGAACTTAGGGTAGGGTGGTCTCAGAATGAGGTTGCCTGAGAGGAAGTAGTGTTCCATCAACCTGCCAGAAGTCAGCTGGTGAAGGAGATCTCAGCATAGTTCAGATGTGCATTTGGTGAGAAGGGGGCTCAGAAGAAAAGCAGGTAGCACTTTGGGGTGCTGAGACATAAATAGCAAGAGGTGTCTGTGGGAAAGTAATACTTTTAAAACACAGTTCTGCCAACTACATTCCCGTAGACACAATTATCCTATAGGATAACTGGCAATAACCAGTGCTAAAGAGACGGTTAGTGGTTAAGAACACTTGCTGCTCTTCCACTGATTAGCTCGAAAACCACCTGTGTGTCTAGCCCTCAGGGTATCTGATGCCCTCTTAAGCATCTGAGGATACCTGCACACACTTGACATTCAGTCAGACATATGCAAAACCAAAATGAACAAATGAAATAACTTTTTCTGAAGTTGTTTGTAACATTTAAAATCTACAATGTCAAAAGCTTAGGAAGACAGAAATAAATGAAGTGAAAGAAAAAGCCTCATAACCCAACTTCCCAGAAACAATCACTGCTGTCAATGTTTTCCTGTAGTCTATCTTATTTCTACCTGTAAGAATGGTTTTTTTTTTTTGCAAAGATGATGCATTTCATCTTCTATTATCTGTGCATTCCGCTGATGTAACTATGCTAATATATATTTACAAGTAATTGATTTCTTCTGTTACAATTTCAATATAACATCACATTGTATGTACTCTCTTCCCCACTGACG